CAGACAAGATAAACCAGTTCAGACTGTGTACGCTCCCAGGTTTATGTTGGAGGTTAGGCTTCAACTTCAGATCAGAAAAAAAACCAGAAAAACTATTTTCTAAAGATACTTTTCTTATGATGGCATGTGTTTTCAGATTAGTCCTACGAATGTGGCAGAGGTTTGGATGGGGAACACCAGTTCTGCCCCATTCCTAATCCACATTTAAGAATGTTTGCAAACAGATATTATTTCACAAGAAAACAGATTACCAGATTGATTTATTTCCCCTCTCCCCAAGTGCTACTTTTAAACACAAAGATGAAATAGGCATTTGGAAGCAAGAAAGCAGGAAAAGAAGGACCAGATGCTTTTCTAGGCAGATTTGCCACTTGAATTTTCCATGTTGCACCCATTTCACAGCCATTCTTTGAAAATATTCAGGCTTTTTTGTGGGGCTGTGAACGGCTCAAAACTAAACAGAACTGAATGATTTAGTAGAAAACAGGAGTGGGTCATTTCCTGCTATTTCTGATCAATATGCCTTGTGCCTGGAGTATGAGGGAATGAAGAAAGACGAAAGCAGTGTCATGGTGGAAGTGCCAAGATGCTGAAGTTAAGAATAAATCTGTCTCCTGGCAACTCGGCACATTTGCTTTCCTTTCCCTCTACCAAGTGTTGTGGTACAGCAGAATACAAAGTCAGCAACAACTTTATTTCTTCCTACTGAAAAAAATATCACTGAATTCAAGACAAAGTAAACACACAAGTGAATCAGAAAATGGAGTCTCTCCTACCCAGACATGTTCTATCCTTCCATGTAAAAAGATGCTGAAAATATTACTCCTGCTTAATAATCTGGTTTTTAAAACTAGAGACTTGAGCAATAGGAGAAGTCCCAGTGATGATGCCTGCACAACACTACTGCTGTATTGCCCAGTGTTCTAGTATCAATACCAACTGAGTGCTAAAACTAGTCCTCTGCATACACCTTGCTCTCTCTATCTCTTCCTAACTCTTTTTTTGAGCTTGCTACTTCTGAATTTAAGTCAGATATTTTAAACTAGGACATGAATGCTTTAAGATTAACATTCAGAACTTAATTTTACATGAGCTTACTGTTCTCTGAGCCAGTCTGGTTCTGGCCACAGATGGAGTATGTTTCGCTTTATCATCTCTTTACTTCTTTCGTCTCAGAAAGAAGCGAAGCAACCAGTACAGTGGTTTTAACTAACACATGATTGTTATCTAGCTGGGATTAAGAAGGTAATATCCAGCTCAGTGGTGGTAGCCTCTAAAGATGAACTAACTCCATCTCTTGTAATTGTGGTATTGAGTTCAAATCTGCATATATGATGGACAGGCAAACCCTGCTTTTCATAGGCACTGGCCTCAACTTACAGAGGGACAAGGCCTCAAATGACACAAAAAAGCTCCCTGCCACACTCCGTTTGTCTAAATCATATTCTGTCCCTGACGATAACAGAAGAAAATCCATTTTAAGAATGAACCTGCTCATAATATCCACATTTTCCTAGGAAGGATTTTTCAGGCAGGAAGTAGTCCAAAGGAAAAGATTTAAAATATTCTTAAATTTCTTTTATGAGCCAGTATATCAGCTCCTAATTTCATAGAGCTTTTGACACAATCAAAGGCAGCTTTCCCTCTTGTCTTACAGGTATACACTGTTCCAAGCTAGAGCCAGAAATAAGCCTGTAATGTGACTCAGGTGACTGATCACATTAGAAAGAGTAAAAACCACTGACAGAAAATTCACAAAGAACCAGTGGCCTGCTATGTTTTGCATGATTTATTATTGGCCAGTGAATAAATTTATAAGATGACATCTTAGAGACAGGGAAAAAGAGTGACTGGCAAAGAATACAATGTATTTCTACCACATCTCCCCATTTCTATTAACAGACTGGCAAGAAGGGGGTGTACCTGCTGCTCTAAAAGTTAAGACAAATGCAGAATTTTCTTTGCTAAAAGGTTACCTCAGTAACTTGGCAGTGTGTACTTTTTATTCCTCAAACTTTCTTTCTGCTCTGAAATCCTGTGCTACCCTCCTGTGACATTTTCTTGCATGCGCTCAACTGAAGTTTGGGTCTATTGTTTCACAAGGGAGTTGAGCCTTCAGCAGTTACTTATTTATTGAGGTCACTTAAGGTCAGTGATGTGGGTTTAATGGAGTGCTTTTTTTTCAGAATATGGTCAGTCTAGTGTGTTGTAATTCCTTTAATTTTGCGAAAAGGGAGATAGATGGTGGAGTAGTTTCATTTTAAAATTAAGTACATATCAATTGTGTAGGTCTATACCCGCACTGAATGTATAACTGGCAATTTTCAATGCAAGTCACCCTCCTGTCACGATTTTGGTTTGATATTAACGGAGTCATATAGCTTCTCATGAACAAGACCTTAGTTCTTTATTTTTCACTGAGGGGTTTTGTGTGTATGTGTGTGTTATGTAGCAAGGAAGGGCTATTCTGCCTTACCTCTCACATTTCCTCCTTGCCTGGGTGACGGGGGATTTGTTGACATTTGCTGCATGCCCTGTTGCTATTATAAATCGGAAGCTACATTTCAAGCTTCAGCACACTCAGAGTTAAGCTGCACTGGAAAGGGACAATGAAAAATATAAATGGAAGAAATTTGAAGATGTGAAAAGGGAATTATTTGGGAGAGTCTTTTATTTTAAAGCTTTTAAAAACAGACTGAGAAAAAAAACCCTTGTAAGGATTTTTTAATGTAAACTTTGTAAAGTTGGGTAGGGGTTTTTTGCTTTGTTTTCAAAGCATGATGCCCAAAGTTATGGTTCTAACTCTTTGTTTAGTCACCAGAGTTTGCCACTCTGAAATCTTCCCCTGAAACAAATCCTCAGTGCAAAAAGTATAGATTTTGTGATGTAAAACATTTTCCAGAATTCTAAAAGTGTCTTTCTAAATAGTGCTTAGTGTCAGGATTTTAAGGAGTTGATAAATTTGACTAAAAAAAATTTTTAGTTTTCTGTTTGTATAATATACAAATAAAGAATACCAACTATTGCAAAAATGAACAAAGAAAACTTGAAGCAAAATATATTTTACAAATCATGCCAAATAAAATATTTCATCTGATCAGAAATCAGCATTTTTTAATAATTTCACCTTATGGGAAATTTATAGAAAAACGTTTGTTCTTGTGTTCTATTCCAAAAGGAAAGGGGTGTTTTGCATCAGGATATTTTCCTCAAGTGAAAAACTGTGTTCTTCTAAAACTCCAATGGCCAGATTTTCTAGTCATTTAGGAGCTCCAAGTCACATTAAAAGGAGCATGAGTACAAATTAGTTTGTTTATCTGGGCTATTCACAATGATGTCTGTTTAGTGACTGTAATGCAGAGAATCAAATCTGGCCACAAATTCAATACCACAATCCTTAAAAAACTAGAACAAATAGAAAGTATAAAATAATAGAGAGGAAGCATATAATTTGAAAATATTTTTCATGACCTATTTTAACTTGTTTCACGATGTTTCTTCTTTTTCTCTGGGAAAATTTACTGCATAATTCAAACCTGCAGATAATTTCAACCTTTTTTCCTTTATTATTAGCTACTAAATTTTATTTAAGCTTGATCGTTTTTAAAGAGATGGGTGGGATAAAGTGAAGCTTCTAATTTTGCATCCTGCTCTAATCTCCGATTTGAGAGTGCTACAGTCTGGGGTTTTACATAGTAATATAGGGGGAGCAGATAGAGAGATGTGATACACACCTACGCCTTTGCATATCAACCTCGAGACGGGTCTGTATGTTTTGCAGTAGTGGCTGACCAAAACAGTCCCTTCTGGACTTCAAATCAGCTAATCTCCTTGGGAGGGAACCGCCTATATTTTTTTAGTTGGGATGGGCTTGGGGGGTTATTTTTTGGGGAGCAAGGAGTTGTTATCCCTCAATGTCAGTCCTCCTGACCTTAAGTTTAAGGCTATTTTCAGACTTGGTCAAACGTTTGATTTTTGTAATGATTGTTAGGATTTCCTCCCCCTCCCCCTACACGAAAACTAAAATTGTGATTTAGATATTTGGTCCCAGCGGCCCTGCCTGTGCTCAGCAAATGGTTCCATGTCACTCGCTGCATCACAATATCGGCGCGGCGGCGCTCGGTGGCAGCTAATCCTCTGAGCCTGTTAATAAGCTTAGGAGCACGTTCATTGAAGACTGACGCGTTAGTCACAAACAGGGAGAAAATATCTACTGGGGGAAGCTGAATTGGTTTTAATCATCTGCTAATCACCAGTAATGAGACCTACTCTGGGGAAGAAAAGAAAAACAGATAGTCAGAGGGAGGTTTTGTTCTTCACAGCGGAGTAACAGGGAATGAGAGGGCAGCTGTTATTAAGAGAGAAAAGACGGAAAGAAAGGAGGGATTTGGCCAGACCAGATGAAACTTCTTCTGTGGCGCACTGTTTTGTTAGCTGAGTGTTTCTTTCATTCAGCCTCCAAAACTTCAGATCTGTCAGCCCCTCTGAAAGCCCCAGCCCACCTCTCCAAGCCGCCGGGGAGAAAAGGCACCGCCACCCTGCCCCGCAGCCCCCCGGCCCGGACCCCCGGGCCCCGCTGCCCCTTCCCCGAGCCCTGTGGCCCCGGGCGCGGCTCCTCCAGCTGCCGGGCAGTGGCGGGCACGGCCAGCGGGGCCGGGAGCCGGGGGGCAGCCAGCTGGAGGTGGGGCTGCCTTTGCGGGGAGAGGGAAGAGGCCTTCCTGCCCACTCCTCACCATCCGCCTCGCAAAGTTGGTCTTCAAGATGGCTACTGGGAATAAAGCAAAGACAGGGACACCTCTGCGGCGGGTCGCGGCGGATTCTGGCTGGGGTGGGTGGCTCCGCTTCCCACCGGTGGCACCTGAGCGGAGCGTCTGCTTCGAGAATCAGGCATCACGCTCTGCAGGTGAAAGTCGAGCAATAGGCAAAGCTATGACGCTTAACAAGAAAAGCAATGACGGAACTACGTTCCGTGCGCTGTGCAGATCAGCATTCTTAATTCCAAGGTGCTGGTGCGAGGACCTTTGAAAGACACTGGATATGGCAGGTCACTCAGTTCCTTAACAGTAGGCCCTGGGTATCTCCTTCAGCTAGACCATATTCACTCTTCTTAAAATTTTAATTGGGTTTAATTTTTGGCTTATAACTGTGCATCTGGCTCAGAGAGAGGAAGAAAGCCCTTAGCTACATTTTAAAAAGTCCAATCTTGGATGAGCTCTTTAAGTGATTATAAAGTTGACTAAATGTAAAAGCTTTGCAAAGGCAGTAATTTCAGTCACACTTCTGGCTGCTAAGACATGTCTATGTTTCATTTTCTGTATATTTTTAGGGAGCTTAAGTGGGGTGGGTAGCTCACTCATTGGAAAAAAAAAAAAGGAGGTTTTAAATGTCATGCTTCATTTGGCTGTATGGAAAAGCTGACTATCAGATGTCCTGTCAGGAAATAAGATACACTGATATACAATGTGCAAACATTTTATTTTGAAGAACTCCTTCACAGTCTCACTTCATGGAAGTGAGTTGCCCAACTTAGTCACACAGCAAAGAGAAGTCTGCATCCTGATTTAGGTTTAATTTCTTGGTTTAGAGCTCATGGCAACAGGATATCTGAAAGGGAAAGCATGCCTCAGGTTTTTTTAATGTGGCTCCAGTAATTCTTATCATCACCATCAGGAAATGGGTCCCAGTACACCAGGATATGCAGAGAACATTAGCCGACAGAAATTTTTTAACCTCCTCTTTATAGCTTGTTTATTAAAAGTGGAAGTCAGAACTATCTTTTACTGAGAATCATCACAGAGTCGTGTTTCTGATTTTGGAGAAAGGCTCTCTGGAGATCTGGGAATAGGTGGTATCAGTGAAAAACGAAACATCATCAGGTAGTTTTTTTAGTCTTTTTCAACAGAAAGGCTTGAGAAGCTTTACCTGTGAGGGCAGACAACACTTCTCTAAATACCTGTTGTTATGATATGACCTTATTCTAGTGCCACCAAAAGCCCTTTCACTTACAGTGAGAAGACAAAAACAGTTATTTTGTAAAGGAAACAAAATTAGGAAAATTTAAACTCCTTTTCCGGTGTCCTATAAGAACTGATTCCTGTGTTGTCATTTACTGCTGTTGAGATACTCCTGATTGTGCAGCTCACCTTGAATGAAGAACAGAACTGTTTCTTAAAAGTGGCTGTTTATTTTGGGGACCATTATCTTCATTGGCTTCACACAGATAGCTTGAAAGGTCTCACAGGAAAAAAAAAATGGTGTTCAAGGCAGAAAGAAACCTCTTGCCTGCCTGTTCAACAGCTCTAGGATTCTTAAGTCATAAACAGTTATGGATTGTCATGTATCCACTGATCTGCAACAGGAAGACAATGTGCAGAAAGTGGTGTTTCAAGATATTAGATTGAAATTTGAGACCGAAAATGAACTTAGAAAAATGTTTTTCTATTCAAAATAAGACTATCAGAGATGCCAGACACAATCATAGTGACCTCATGTATACATTCCTTTCAATTTGTAAGCAACTTTTCATTATAGTGAGCATGTCATCAAAGCCTTGAGGTAATGTTTAATTGCACTCTTTTTCTTTTCTTTTTCCACAAGTATATTCAGTATTGTACTGATGTTTTCTCAGTTAGTTCATCTGTCTCTGTATTTTATCTTTCTGTCTGTCAGGCTTATTAGCATATTTTGACAGATTAAAAGGCTAAGGTCAAACAAGCAAATCCCCAAAGAAATACTGCTAATTATTGTCATATGTTTTTTAAATACTTTTGCTTCTTCAAAGAATTTCATAAGGAACTAAATTCAACTTTGCGGTCTGTTTCTTTTATGAGCCCCTTCTCTCTTTAACGTCACTTTTCCTAGTCACTCTCCAGTGCCCCTACCCTCACTAGGCAAGCAATTACCTACTTACAAAAGTGCAAGACTGTGCTTTAGGTAAGTTACATTTTGTGGAAGTTACCTGCAGTACATACTGATGCACACACAATGAGTAGTGTTCAATGAACCACCAAACACGGGTTTGGGTGGCTTTTCTGTTTCATGACATCTGGAGAAGTGAAAGACCCTTTTTATTGCTGGCAAAGTGACACAGATCATACTTCTTCCAGAATCCTGCTCAGGGGCAAGTGGGTGCTGCATACAACTGTGATCAACAAAGGGGTCCTTCACACTCTAGCATTCCCCCCCCCTTTGTATGGTGAGGAGGATTGGTTATGATCTGGAGGTAGAGTTAGAAGGCCAATGTGCTGCATGTTAGTACCAGATGCTGTGCAGTTTTCTTTACCTTCAGCTGTTTAGAAGACAAAACAGAGCAGGCAGATGATCTGAGCAGGCAGATGATCTGAGCATGAGTGAAAAAAAAATTTAAAAAACAAAACACAGAAGTCTAACATTCAGTAGGGAAGAATGATTGCAACCACAGTCAGCTGAATACTTTCTGCTTTTGTTGTTGGCCAAGGTAAATAATAAGGTAGGAGTTCGTCAGATAAAGGAAGATATTGGCTTCTTGTGAGGATGAAACAACAGGTGGCTAAAATAAATAGAGGGGGAATGCTTTTGCAACAAGATAAGCAACAAAACAATCCTAATTAGCTTAATGAGCAGACATGTATTTATCTTATGCCTCCACTTTTCTATTAATTTCCAGACACTTCCATGCTTCAAGACTATATATCTGTTTTTTAAAGGATTAATTGTTAGACGAGTATGCAACGGTAGCATTGCCAAACCTCGTTCATGGCAGGTAAATCATTACGTGGCCTAAGACAGTGTTCATTAGCAGCATTGTCAATCAAGTGGGAGTCTTGCCAGGGAATTGCTGATGATACGACAGGGTCAGAGACGAAGATATTCAGTCTCTATTCATCCATCAGATTTTTTTTTTTTAAATCAATTTACAGCATGATAATTGAGTCAAGTTTATTGTGCTGCCCCTCAAACAATGTAGGATTTGATGATTATAAATCTCTCGGTATTAAGACCACACAAAAAAAGAGGAAGAGAGGAAGAGAGAAAAAAAGAGGAAGGAAGCAGGAGAGTTGGGGTGGGGCAGGGAGATGAAAACTAATTGCTAATATAAATATTTTAAAAGGGGAAAGTTTCAAATGGAGAAGACCTGTCTTTAAGATCAGAAAAGTAGCAGAGAGATGAAGTCCTCAGTTAAAGAAATTCTTCACTAAAGGTGGAGGGTTAAATTGCCATTCATGTATCTGGATCATTTGAAATTATTCCACTGATAAAACCAATGTGTATCCTTCCCAGGGGAACAATACTGCCTTCAAAAGTATTGTTTCTTTCTGTCGTGTTAGAGAGCCCTTTTGTAAAACATTTTCCCCTTCATACATGCAACTGCGCGTGCCTGTGTGCACATGTGTGCGTGTAAGGTCTGTGTGCTAACTAGGTCTCTGCGTGAGAAGATTTAAAAAAAAATATTAGTGTGGAAGGGGAAAGTGAAAAGGCTCTTTCTAAGGCAGAAACAGAAGTGCTTTCTACAGGGAGGAAAGCCCTTTTCTATCAACCTGGGCATAGCTCTGATTTCCAGGGCAAATATTCAGTGCTGTATTTCCAGCCCAGGAAAAAGGGTTTGTAAGCCTCCATCCCATGACCTGCACCCTTCTCACACTTATGCCAAAGAGTTAAAAAAAGTGTCGTTACCATCATGCACAGGCTTCCTCTAAACTGATGTTAGTGGTAAACATGTGCTTGCACATCCACTTTCCTCAGTTTGCTGTTTGGCTGATTTCAGACACATGATAACTAGATCACTCCTAAGTTTTCATATAATTACGTTTAAATATAATTTTGAGCAATTAAAATGAATGAGAGAGGAATTCATATGAAATCTGTCTCAAAATAAACCTATAAAAGTGTCGCATTCCAGGGTGATTTCTTAAACTCCCTTTCATACAGCAATCGTGCTCATGAGCTCTCCTCTCAGACCCCCGACTCTTTACTGGGGCTCATCAGGCTGATGCTGAACATATTTAAATCCTCCCCATAAAAGGTTTAGTCTAAGTTGCTTCTCCAGTACTTGTTTGAACATTAAATATGCAAATAATCATCATTACACTTCCAACAATTACACATGTTTGCGAGCACCATGTCAAGTACTGGCAGCAGTGCAATCATTTGTAAAGACAAATATTCCATTCCAAGAGATGTCATGCTGCTTAGAAGATTTCTTTTTGTATTAGTAGCCACACTGCTGCTTCATAAAGTGTGCAAATGAACGTGACAGTGCTGCCAATAGCTGCCAGTTCCTTCCTCTCGGCAGAGCAGATGTCAATCAACCATCCCAAACAGACAAGGCCTCGGTACTGCTGCAGACATTAAACATGTAGGATGGAGAAGGGAGGGCACAAACAACACAGGCAGCGCAGGGGCTCGGCATACTCCTCGCTCTCCCTCTCCCTCCTCCTTCTCTCCCTCAGCCTCTCTCCCTCTCTCTTTCTCTCTGAGGAGGCCCGAGGCCGTTGGAATATTTTAATTTCTGATTTCTGACTATATTATCATGTGTTTGTAACAGACGAATTGTAATTTGTAGCTCTGAGGTGATATGAAAAACTGCCTGCGACCGTAGGACAGATGCAGGCGTGTGTGGCAGACTTCTCTCCTCACTGCTCTTGCGTCCTTCTCTCTCTCTCCTGCTCTTTATGTAGTTATGGATAATTGTCAGCATTCACTTTTATCACATCCAAAGTAGCAGCTTAGAGAAGATGCAACTTTAGTCAGGACTAATCTTGCCTCCTCCTGAAGTGGGAAAATCCCAAGTATTTCAGGGTCCTATTGATAACCCTTGTGCTTTTTTTTCCATAAAAGACGGATGACTCTGGCAAGCTTGGGAGACTGCAGATAATGGGATTGACTTGGTACTTAAATCTCAGTGAACCAAGACAGCATAAGTAATTAGTGAATTGGATCCATAGTGGGGTGCTAATGATGGCTAATACTACCCCACACCATTCTAAAACCCACAAGATACACATCCATCTAACTCAGATAAAACAGAGGGGACACTGCTTTTGCAGGCATCATTTATATCTTCCT